AGGGGCTTTTGAAGCTGGCCTGCGCGGTCGATCTATTCTTTTGTCAGAGCGAGGCCTGGGAGCTGCCTTAACTGCAGGAGGCCGTGGAGGAGGGTCATCTGGAGAGACCATCAATGCGTCCGTTTGTAATGGAGGTTGAATGTGATGAGGTGGGTAAGGAGAACTTGGCAAAGGTGTCGGTGGCATAGTCGATGTAGGTGGTGGAGTCGATGCAGGAGATGGAGTCGGAGGAGAAGGCCAGGCAGGTGGAACGGTGGGTGCCGTAGGAGATGGGAAAGTCGAAGGAGCGGTGTGCACCATAGTGGGTTCGGAGGCCAAAGGCGAAGGCATGGTGGGAACGAGCTGTGGGCCTGGTACTGCATGAGGAGCCGGAGACAATGAGGTAAACGGCAACGATGTTGGTGTTGATGTAGACGGCATGATCGAAGCTGAAGAAGACCATGTAGGATGCAAGGCCGAAGGATGTCCAAATAGATGTGCGGTCTGCGATGATTGCGGCAACGTCGAAGATGCGTTCGCAGGTTGCGGTGGAGCAGGCCATGACGTCGGAGGAGTGGTCCACGGATACATCGCTCACGAAGAATAATGAAAAATAACGAAAATGCAACGACAGGATTCAGTTCCTAGACCTACTGTTCGTGCAATTGTGCCATAACAGGCCCGATGTCAGGTCGTGCCCCAATGGCATAAAACAGCTTTCAAGTTCCATCGAATTAGATGCACAAAATGTTTCACCTCACCAGACAACCATCAAAAGAAAGAATCACCACACCTGAAAGTCGTGTGCCTGCCTGGTCCATTTTCATGTAATGTTGCAAAATGTCGCTGTGAAAGTGCTGCAGAATAAGAGGTTTCTGAATGTTCGGCACAACGTCACTCCGTGGGAGAGAATTTCACCAGGATCTCAAGGGACGACAGGAGCCGCGGGACTTCACAAAAGGTGCAGAACAGAAAGGCTGACTGTTTCGCTTTACTTAGATGAATTACTAAATTAAAATGTGTTAATTCGGCAGTCAGGACAGTCATCACTCACCCTAAAAAGGGTTGCCTCAAATGGCTCCATGGCACCATGTCGGAGCCACCATGGAAATCACACTAGACAAGAATGGATCATTATATGATCCGGCAGGAACTGAATCCTGAAACATGCAAACCAGCCTAGATCGTTAGATTAGTAAAGGAGCCATATGAGGTACTTCTCGAAAACGATGTAGGGCATCCAATATTGTCAAACGTAGTTAAAACCAGAGTCCAAAGAGTTTTGACCAGCATGTTGAAAATCCAAAATAATGTTTCGGCGATTGTTTCCCAAAAAGACCCAAAGTTCGTCGGCGACATGATCTCGGCGAAAATATGTCAAAAAATCATAATACTGTCGGCGATATGGTTTCGGCGAAAATCTGAGGAAGGTTCTGATGCATGCAATACAGATTGTGGCAACCGTGTAGATTCGAAACAACGCAGTGTAACAGCTTGATCAACAGTTGAAACCAAACGTTGCAGGTACACAGAGTTGATCAGACTCTGCTTCCAGCACAAGTGGATAGCTTCGTTGGGCGCAGTCTCCACTGTGCTCTGCACCCCCCTGCAAATTAGTGAAAACCAATAAGAAGTTTTACATCTGTTCAGATGGTACACACACACACCCATTCTGACTTATTGCGTTTTTTTGTCGGTGCAACGCAGCCTCTTCGATCTGATCATTTTCCACTGTTTGCAACCTCACGATCATTTTTCTTTGCCTTGGTGCCGTGCACCAGCGTGATGTGCAGTGTGTTTGTTTTTCCTTATTCTTCATAGATGTTCCATTAATTTTCCTTCATACTAAATTTGCGATTGACAGAACTCACCAGTACATGATGAAGGTGATATTTAGATATATTTTGTGTATTCAAATTGAATTTGTGTCTTATCCAGGTGCTATTGGGTCACTGAATTTTTGCCTCAAATGTGTCCATTCCAGCTGTGCCCAGGGTGGCGAGCTTGTTCCGGGAGGTTCAAGTTGCCGGGGTCCTCGGTGGTCGCGATGAGTGCCGGAAAATCCCCGGGCTCCCCCTGACCGAGGTACGTTCATCCAATGAGTCTTTGAAGGTTGAGAATGCGGAGGACGGGGATGGGATTTGATGGGATAAACCCATCTGAGAGGGGTTGGATCTCAAACATGGGGTCATTCTGTCATATTATGTCATTATTGTCAATGTTTATTGGATGTATTCAGGGATTCAATCAAAGTTACTGACCACGGGAATCGGATGGGGGTGATAGGGGAAAATGACCAAGTGCTGCCGATTTTGACTTCTAGTTTTTTGTGCGTTTTGCAGTTGCGTTTTGGACATTGAGCTCTTGAAATTGAAAAAGGCTGGCAAGTGAGTTGCAACATGTTGCAACTATTTCATTGGAGATCAATTGTAGGCCATGTGTGTTTGGCAATTGGCTTCCAGAACAATGTATATCCCTCTATTTTAGTCGATTTTGGTGTAAGAACTTGTCCCGGCCACATTGACACCACGGCCACTTCTTTCCAACCATGTCCTTTCCTGACTGCTACCAGTGCCCTTGCACAGCGCAGGCATTTGATCGTGCTTCTCGGGCGGAAGAAGATGCCAAGCAGGCAGAATACTCCAACCATAATGGGATATGATTCATTGGTAAACCATGTTAGATATTAACTACTCCAGCAGTTAGATATACTCCAGCAGTTATATTGGTAAACAATAACAGGATACTCCATCCATATTGGTAAACCGACGGATAACTCCGGCAGTTAGATATACTCCAATAACAAGTAACGTGAGATGCGAAACTGACGAGGCCAGAGCCGCTTTGGCCGATGGAGCTCTGAGCTCAGACCATCCAGTGGTTTAAAATGGGTTAAACATGTTTGAAACATGTTAAAACGTCATTTTCCCATTGACATTTTTCCATACATGGGGGTACACCCCATTTTCAGACACCTATATATCCCCAAAAAAGATATCGATTTACTGCTTGACGATTCCAAATGCCTGGATCCCATGACTGGAGTCGACGACCAAGGTTGCGGCCAAGTCCTGTCGTGGCATGGTTAATCTTCGGTGTCACCGGGGTCTGCGGTTGTGGCCCATCACAAACCATTGGTGGATTTGCTTGACAGAATGATGACTGATTGCAGATGCGTGAACATAGCTCTTGAGGCGACGTACAGTATCGGATTATGAACCATGCTGGAAGGTCTCATGGGCTTGATTGATATTTTGCCCATTTGGGCGGGCTTCGCCAGGCAAATGCAAGCCACAGAGAGCACTCAGTATGCAGATATGCAGGTGGGAGACCAAGCCATCACAGAACCACAGCCGTTGGGCTACTGAAGATGTGCGCCAAGCACGAATATATCTATTACATATGATTACGGAAGACACTTGTATTTAGAGACATGCATACATTCATATACGCAATGAGCTGTGTAGTCTTAAGTGTTTGTATCCACGATGATGTGCGGCTGTGCGTCGTGAAGTTCACATGCTTTCAGTCCTACAGCATCCTACAGCGCGCATCGGTTGTTTGCCACTGTGGAAAGCTGGTTGCGACAAGCAAACTGTATTGATTCACAAGCCATTTTTTTTACCATCTCTCACGATTGCTGTGGTGCTCTACAAAATGATGTTGAATCCTTTGAGGCTCTCACCATTGAGCCCATGAACTCTGGGCCCTTAGCAGCCAGCTCTGCAGAAGCAGCTTGCCTAGTTAATCCTTGAGGGCCCCACATATGGTGAGTTTATAGTGGATTTGCATGGATTTGCAACAGATTGGATTTGTTGGCAGGATTTGGGTGTCAGCAGATTTAAGAAACACACCAGGGTATGGCATTTGATATGTTGCATGTTCTGAATATATCATAACATATCACCAGACCAGTTTTTTGTAGACTTGTAGTTGTTAATTATTGGGAGAAGAGTGCTGCAATCACAACAGTATAGAACATGTCATGAATTTGCTACGGCATATTCGGTTTTGCTTCCGTAAATCGACTTTTTTTGCCGCTGCATCGCCTTGCTGATAGTCGTCACATCGGAGTGTTTCATATCTGAGGCTCCTCCATGGTCACCAAACAGGCCCAGCTTTTCACCAGTTGGGTGCTCGGAATATCGGAAAATTTGGACTATTCTTCAGAGCAATAGACTTGCATGATCTTGGATGTCATTAATGATATTTGGATCGATCATATAGACCTTTAATTTCCATATTGACCCATACATTTGGCATGGATGCAATGGAAATCGCCACGGCTGAGGCCTCAGGTGAGGCAGGCACGCCACGCTTGCTGATGAAGACGCAGAGCACGTGGGGGAAACCCGGAGAATCTGAGCGATGTGCCGAGATGCTTTGGATCAAAATATGGAGGGATGAATTGACCACAATTGACCCACAAAAACCCATCCAAAACCCATCTGAGGATACATAAGGCTACTTGAAAATCCTTGAAATATGGTGAATCCAACATGATTGGATGGTCAAAATATGGTAATTATATCGACTCACGTAGTTGAATGGGCCATGTGAGGCCTGTTACTTGTCCTGTAGTATACATTGACCAGCTACGATTGACAACGGTGAAAGGCTTTGAGTATGAAACAATGCCTTAAGTTGATGAAGTTCGAGTAGGTCTATCTACTCCTCTGTCGCTGTGTTTGCTGAGGGTTTGGAGGTCATAAAGGCGTAAACTCTGCAATTTTCAAGCAACATGACAGAGACAGAGCAACATACCAGCCGCTTCCAGCCGGGTTCCACTAAGCAAATCTGGCTTCGTGAGATGATATTCATTGAGATATATTTTTTCAACTCACCGCTTTTTTTTGAAGCTGAACGACACACAATCATTAGCCATCAATATTCTGGAGATACACATCAAGATCTAATTTCCTTGGAGTTTTGATATGAAGCACAATAAACTCAACACAAACCCTCTTGACTTAACTATAACTTTCATTTTTAAAAATATTTTCTCAGCTTTTTTCCAAGCCATGAGCGACCAGATCCGCATCGTTGGCCTTGCTGGGGAGCTGTGTTCTGTACAGCTACCAGTTGATGCCACCTTGCAGGTCGGATGGGTAACTATTTTATTGCAACCCCAAGAAAGATTGAAAAGTACATTTCTGTGTATAGATACTTGTTAGTTAATGGTGGTAAGGATAAATCAACATATAATATATATATATATATGTTAAATATATAGTGTGAAGTGCGTTGGCTTCTTTATTTGCAATTTCTGTAAAATCCAGAAACTATTTCTTGCACAGGTATAAACCATTTTCTAAATACTAGAAACCATTTGTTAAATACTAGAAACTTGCTAAATCCAAGAAACCATTTTCTAGATAAGTAGAATATGTAAAACCAATTGCTAAGCAAAGTAGACTATGTAGAAATCATTTGCTAAATCATGTTGATTTACCAGGAACCATTACTTAAATCAAAGGGTAATAGTTGCAAGTAAAAGTTGTTAGTGACCATGTTATCAGGGTAAACCTGTTCATTCTTGGAACAGTCATTTGCCAATAGTAGTTGGTGGTGAGAAAGAACCACTGTCTTTACCCCACAGTTCAATTGTACTAGCGCCTCCTTCACCCGTGGTTCACCGCAGTGAAACTGTTGACGCTTGAAACTTGAAACCATCTAGAATCAAATTGGAAGTACTATCACACCAGACCAGTTGTAACGCTTTTTCAATCCAGGAAAGGGTGTATCAAACAGCAACAAAAGCATGGCATACTCTGTGCCCAATGCACTTTGTGCCAAATGTGCCATACAACACTGCGAATACTTCCACACGCGATACCCACAAGTTGTGGGATCCCAAAAAATATGCTCACCAACCAAAACCCATGTGGCTGATAGCCTTTGCCAGTGAGTTGGGGGATGTTGTTAGCCGGGTTTTGCCACATGGCATTTTTGACACCTCAGAGGACGCCCAAGTCAAGGATTTCCCTCAAAAGTCGGGACTGGTGTGTGCTTGAACTTTTTCTCTATCTATCCGGGTCTCTCCGCGCCCGCCGCTTTAGCGAGCCTACTTTTCAACCCTCGGGAGCCACAAATCACTGAAAAAAACACGGTGTTTGGCGACTTTTCTACCTTTTCCCGCACCTGCCATCTTGTTTCTTCTGACTCTTTCTCTTCTCTGATCTTCTCTCTTCTTCTCGTCTCTTCTCTGACTCTTCCCACCTCTGCTTTTCCATCTGTCCATATGGTCGGAAGTTTGACTTCTAAACTTCCTTCGAATAACACTACCATTACCCCTATCTAAACCAGTGATAGATTACTTCTGTTTTTTAAACGGCGGTATTGATAGTTATTTCAACCGAGTTCAACCATCCAAGTTTGGTGGTTGTTCAAACCTCTATTTCTGTTGATGATATTACCCCTATGGTTTTACAGTAGTTGGTTCAAAACCATCCATTTTTTGGCATAGCACCCCATTTTTGGGCATATAAAGAACCATCATGAACCATCCATATTTTTCTAAGTAGTTTGACGATCTCCAGGATCCATCCCGATCCTGGCATCTCAAGGAGCTGAAGTCGAAAATCGACGATGCCCTGGGAGTTCCCTGCAACCAGCAGCGCCTCATCCATGGCTCAGAGGAGTCCTGGGGCCATCAAGGAACCAACAGAATTCCATTGTTTCTTTCCTTGTTGGTAAAAAACCTCCATCTTTCAGGTCTTCCCGATAGGATTTCCTTGCTAGCTCTGCTGCACCATCCCAAATCATCTCAGATCATTTTGTTTTGTGGGACATGTTGGCAATCAATGAAGAAGTGACAGGTAAATCCTGCATCGTTTGCAAGACTGTCCAATTCATGGTTGCGACCAAGTTATCAAAACATGTAGCACCTAGAAGATTCATGTGTCAGCCTCCCGATCCATCCAAGACAGCGGGGAGAAAGTCTACCCAAGCTTGGTTTCAACCTATTTCAACCATAACCCCCGGTGAACTTCCATCATTGTTCCACAATCATCATGTTCCGCCATGGTTCACAGATTGGGCGATGAGGAGCTACAAGATCTCGGCCCAACGCGGCCGGTGGAGCTGTGCTTGCTGCGCCTAGCCCCTCAACTGGACGAGGAGGAAAAACTGCAGTGGTCGCAGCAGCTGGAGAAGGTGCACCGAGTGATTGGGGAAAGGTGGGATGATCTGGTCTTTCCAATCCATGGGGGATCCTCGATAGCTGGATGGTTTATTTCATGGAACATCCTAAATCAAACTTGATAATTTAGGGGTACCCCCATGGATTTGAAACCTCCTGTTGCAATATGAAACACTAACTTGGAGCATCTGAGTATCATTTGGGGCACCATGATTCCAAAAACTCTTCTCCCCTCGTCGCAGGATGGTATGGAGCTTCTCTATGCCCCTGAAGCAGTGCAAGCAGACAGAGAGCTTGTGATGACAGCAGTGCCTAGCCAGTTTTTTTGATGAGGATTAGCAGGTTCATGCCATCAACAAGCACCAATTTTTGCTGGTGAAGTCACCTTTTGTGCTGGTTCAATCGCCATTGTCCACCAAGTTTCATGGGTAAATTCGATTAAATCCCAAAAAACACATAAAATATATAAAACCATCATTCTTGTTGGTAGAAGTTCTCATTTTTCTTTGTGAAATCTGGTAGAATCGCCATGTTTCATGGTATAGCTCCTACTGTGAACTAACATAGATGTGGAATATCAACCATTTGTAGACGATTTTCCTCAGCTTTCCGCATGATTTTCCCACATCTACGGTCGTTTTCCACATCGGGTCACCGGGTCAGGTGTGCCAGGCCGGCGATGCCTTGGCGATCGCCTCTGAAGATCTGAGAGGCGATCGGGAGCTGGTGCTCCAGGCGGTGCCGAGACTCCGAGACGCGGGGAACGGGGGAAATGACATGAAATGACCATGGAAACCATGGTTAGGTTGGGGAAGTATCCCTCAATCACCTGATTTGATCGTATTTTCAGGTGGGTCAATGATGATAAGCCCAGAACCATGGGGGGGTACCCTCAAGTACGCTCGCGTAGCTGTAGAAATTGATCGAGAATAGATGATTTACCTAGTAAGAATGGGCATGTACGATCCATTTTCCGTAGCTATGTTAGTTTGCTGGAGGGTAACCATAAATAAGCACAATTCATTGGTGATATCCCATGTTTCATAGTGAACATTTGACAACCTGGATGAAACTTGGGGGATGTGAAAATTTGGAAGGAACTTTCTTGCTAAGAAGAATGGTGCTATACTGAGAACGATGGGTTACAAAGATGGAATATAATGGTGGAAACAATCATGGAATAATGAAACGCTGCGAAGCTGAGGGAACTTGTGCCAAACCGGAGATTTATCAATACTTATTTTTCCAGTGGCCATGAAAATTGGGGATATGTTATGGAATTTAATTGGGCACATTTCCCATGATTGATTGTGGTAATTCAATATGATTCCCATCAGGGATCATTGGGGTTATCACAATCATTCATAATCCGTTGCGGGAACCCTTATGAGCAAACCATTAGACCCATCGAACATGGGGAAGGGTAACTTCTACGATTTAACTTGGGGATTTGTCATGGGATATGTTATGGGATCTATATAGTTCACAAACAATGTGAGAACTATGGTGATTGTAAAGATGAAGATTGACATGGTTCATGATTAAACTTATGCATTTATTGTTGCGATTAGTTTCCAGTTACCACTTAAAATTGTGAAGCCGATTATAACCGCTGATGATGATGATGATGATGATGAATTTTTTTGGTGATGTTGGGTGGTGTTTCATTATTTACGATGATGTTTGATATGGTGATGATGATGATGATGATGATTGATGTTCATCATGATCATGATCATTATGATGTGGGTTTGTTTTGTTTGAGCCAAACATGATTTGGATCATTATTATTTTTAGCCAACCATTATTTTGAGCCGATCGTGATTAGGACTCGAATGGACTATTTGATTTTATATCCGGGATGGGTTGAACCACAAAACCAGATGATGTTGATGACACGGTCGATGACAACATAACTGCAAAGATTTGAATTCTTATTGATATTAGGGTGTGAGGGCGGGCAACACTACAAAACATGGATAAAGAAAAACTGAATATGATTTCCAGCTAAATTCCTTCACAGCTCAGATGACCTATAGTTTGTTTTTCTTGCAACACTACTTGATGTAAAATATGCTGGACGTGTGGTTGCACGTGATTTCAGCTGCCAGTGGCCACGCCCAGGTCAGTCAAAATGGTTCTTCTTTGACGTATGCGTCCGCAACCTTGAAGAGCGACAAGGACACACATTGATTTTCAATCAAGACGTGTCAAGGACACCGTGATGTAAACAATGGCCCGTCCTAATGTATAGTGTGTGTTTTGCAAACAATGAAGGTGTGCAAGACTTGGGCGTTTTCAATGCTGTGTGCCGAAACCTCTCCCTTCCGAAATGACATCATCTGAAATGTGAACCAGCGAACGTGGACAAGGGTTTTGTGCAACATGAAACAATTCCAAATTCGATGGTCATTCCAGTTGCTGCTGGTAATTGGATTTTGGCATGGTTTCCTAAGTCCATAGACGAACTCTCTGGGCGATACTGTACCTGTAAACAGGGAGATTCCGGTCTATCCCCAATTTTTGCCTATTATATCCCCAGCAGAATGGTATTTGTGGGTTATATAATAGTTATATACCCATGGTATTTTCCATGGTCTCCCCACGATCTCCTCGCCCATCTCCGTCCCCAGGAGGTGGTCCTCGCTGCGGTTCGCCAGTGCGGTTTGGCCCTTCGCCATGCCGCCAGCGAACTGCGAAGGGATTGGGACGTGGCCATGGCGGCAGTACGGCAGAACGGTGCAGCACCCAGATTTCCCCAGGAAATAGGTTTGAATGAGGATTTACCAACCATTTTGATCAATTTTAATCCATGTTTGATGGGATTTGATGGGGATCATATGGAATCTAGAAGCAACGATATGATTCTTGCACTTTCCCAAAACCCTAGTTGAAAGAGATCATAATGTGAATGAACCAACAATTGTCCAGGTTTACTGTAACCTTCAAAATATGGTGATATAGTCATATAGTTGATAAATTATGGTTGGCTGATGGTTGGTTGTCGGGGGATGATTCAAGATTTACACCCAAAATATGGCAATTTCCATGGGGATACTGGTACAGTGGGTATGTAATGGAAATATATAACCAACTTGATATAGTATGATGGTTTGACTGAGAAAAAATGTGGGTTCATCGATTTGTTTCCACGAAAACTGATTAACAATTTTGTTTTAATCATGGGGTGGTATAGTAGATGGAGGAAGTTAGGTTGCTGCTCTTTTCCAAGAATTCTCCGGTGGAACAAAACGAACAAAATCCCCCCCACAGCCAGTTGGATGGGGTGGATCACTTCACTTGCTCTCTGGAAAATTCCAATTTAGTTCGATGAATTTCCGATGAATTTCCCGTTTAACTGCCCATTTAGTTTGGGGGTTTTCAAGCTACCCGTGGAGCTGATGACACCGGAGGGTACCTTATTGTGTTTGTCGCCGTGGCTGGAGGCTATGTGATCTCAGATGCCGCGTTCGATCACAGTTTGCGGGAGGATGCCCGCATTGCGCTGACAGCTGTTTCCTACGATGGCTGTACCCTGAAGCATGTGGCCGTGAACCTCAGATCCATGGCGAAAGAACTGAGTTGTAGAATTTGGGAATTAAGATGATGTTGGTATATATGTTGGTAAAGGTGTAGTTTCCATAATCATAGATGTTCAGTGATGGCGAGTACATAGGTAATTAGTGCAAAAATCAAAGATCCTCCAAACCCACAGATGTTTGGTTGTTGTGTTTTTATGATTATTCGATAGTTTATATATATATTATGCGCAGTGCCCAGAAATAAACGTGGGAGAACTGCTTTGATTTGCGCAGCATGGTAAAATCCACCGTATCTCTCCAGTGTGATACACACGATGTCATTGCACATTGCCGCCATGGTCCTTGAGGGAAAGATCGCTCCATCGTTCTGGCGGCCGTGAAATCCAACGGCAACGCCATCCTATGGGCAGATCCAAAGTTTCGATCTGATCGAGAGGTGACTCCTGCAGGATTTGCTGTAGATGAAACATGATGAAACCACCTGGGGGCATGAACTGTTACTGTAAGTGTTCATTAATGCTGAGCATAGGTATTTTTTGGGTTGTTTTTATTCACATGGAAACCACCCATTAATGCTGCGTGGTACAACATCTCGACCCATGTCCTTCTGAAGGTGTTGGGGTCTATGAAGGTGTTGGGATCGCTGCAATGGAAAGCATCAAGAAGCTGAAACGCTAGGCAACGAATCTCCTGTGGTTTCTTTCTGTCAAAAAAAAACATGGTGCTGGAATACTTGCCCTACATTTGGGTCATTAAGACAAATCCCCAAGGTGCCAGGCAGGGTCTCGCAGAAAGTGGGTGTGGGGAGGTCATGCTCTCTGCAGTGCGCTACCATGGCACTCTCCTGCGCTGCGCTTCCGAGGCCTCCTTTTAAGAGGTGCTGGATAGATATAGTCGATATAGTGTGTAAACCCAGAGAATGCCGGAGCTGGCGAAACTGCTGGCAAGTCCGTGCACATCCTCATTGTATCTCATTGTGTATACATTGATATAATATGGGGTTTTCTTCAAATGGGTGTACCCCAAAATCATGGTTTTCAATAGTAAAATGGTCCAATGACTTGGATGATTTAGGGTACACCTATTTTGGGAAACCTCCATAACCTCCAGTCAGCAGCGCCCCTATGACCTGGACATACTTAAGGGGACCATCCTGCAGCCGAAAGCGGCCAGGAGCTTCGCAGTGATCGCGATGTCGTATACCAGGCAGAATCGAGCAACATTGAGCGAATGAAGGTGTCAAACAATATATGCTATTATATGCTAACATTTGGGGTATATTGATGGTAAATGTTACCATATATAGCATACATGGATCCTATGGGTTATGCTTTAGTGATTGATGCAAACAAAAAACACCGTCATTGGTTTTGCGGTTGAGTGGACACATGGAATGAAGGTCTGGACATGTCTGGACAAAATTTCACATTGTCTGGTGAAAGGCAGTTCTGGGCCATGGCTATGCACTGCGCCTTTGTCAGCAGTGGAGACAAAGAGAAGGTTTGACGGCATTTGACAGTTGAAATCCAGGATTTAGTCGTGTCTTAACATCATCAGAGCGCCAGAGGTATCTCTACAAAGCTGCGTGCAAGTATGTTATGTTAAAGTGCTTCAGTATTCCGCACACCGTTTTTTTGTTTAAGGATTGATAGTGACCAACGCCGGAAGACCTGCTCGGGAATCAGGGGTGTCATGCCTAGATCCGTGCTGCCTTTTCAGTTACCGACCTTGAGGTCATACGCATCACAGTCTCTGCGCGAAGACCAGGAGTTGCTTGTTGGATGATGGCAGAGGCATTTGTTTCAGACATTGCTGTTACTTTCTTCGTGTTTTCGCTTGACTCAAATGTTCCTTTTGTTTCAGGCGATAGCGGCGATAGAATGCGATGTGACGAAGAAACACCTTCACAGTCACAGAACTGAAGAAACTCGTGTTTGTGGAAGGATGATTTCTGCTTGAGGCTTCAGGTTTGTTTACAAGATCTCAAGATCTCTTTTGCAATCCTCAGGTTATCCTCTCTGGCTGCTCGCCCCCATTGCCACATTCCGGTTCGGGTTGAAAACGGCAAGATCATTTACATCGAGGACTGGGGTTCTGTTTGGAACAGATATGATCCTCAACTAGAAGCCGGCCATGAAGCTTCTTCTCCATCAAGATTGGAATGGGTTTGTTTTGAGTGAATTCTCAGATGTTGATTGAAAAAATGATAATAAAAGAATAATCATGGGTAGGTCATGAGATGTTATGAGGTTGGAGTTTTGCTAGATTTGGTTTCAGCCACAACGCCACAACGCGTACAACATCGTACTGGCAGTCGATTTCACGACAAGTAATGGCCTCACCACGGTAGGACAATGAACACTGATGCCTTTCGCGATAAAAACAGAGCGTTTCGGGGCGGCGAAAGTCGGTATCATGGGGATTCAACTGATTCAACCAACCCATAGTGCCATAGTGACCCGGCCCCTAATAGATGGTGAATGATGGTGAATACATGTTGATTGTTGGTGCGTGTTGGTGCTTAATCGATAAGCCCTTTGTTAACCCTTTTAAAGATAATGTAACTTGGTGGCATGTTCAGACCAGAATTGAGCATGTGAAAAGATGTCAAGAAATCATAGAGGATGGTGGCTGTTACAAAAAAACAACAGTACAAAGTTGGCACAGTACATGTGTTAATATGTGTTTTTGGATGTTTTCGCAGAAACCAAAAAGAATCATATCTTGCAAAGGATTATTACTGTAATAAATTGGATTTGGGGGTATCCTATCTTTGGACAAAGCCACATAGATGCTTTGACAGCATTGACGACTACAACTGTTTTGGCTCAGAATTCAAGTCAAAGAAGACTCTCGATCTAAGTTCCGCACAGCTCTCGTGCAATCTTGTCGCTGCGATGGCTCCTGTCATTTGAATCAATTTGGATCAATTTGACACGAATCAACCCATGAAGTGGGGCTCAGAACGTCCCTGAACAGTTGGCCCAAAAAATTGGATGATTCACCCTCCATCCGGGCTGGAAGACAACAGCTTCCTCTAGAAATGGGCTATTCTCAGGGTCTAAATTTCAGCTGAGAAGATGGTAATACCAAATCCATTTGTTTCTGGGGCAGGCTCAATGGCGACCCCAATCTTGAGACATGTCCAAGCTACCTATGTATCAGCTAAGATATATGTGCGAACCATCGGGTCCTCTGTGAAACAAGTTATATAGTTTCGGAAAAAGCGGAAATTTGGATGAATTTGGTAGCAACGACCCGGCACGTACGATCATTATGTTTTAGTTTTGTCCAAAAATATCCAGATAGAGTATGATCAGTATGTATAATTGGCATGTATATACATGGAATAATATACAGGTGTTCGATCTGGTGAAAGCTTCATATCCCGTGCTTGATATTCAGCCAAAGCACTGATTCTGGTATGCTTTAGCACTAAGTTTCAGATGATTTCGGGTACTCAATCAGTTGATTTGTATCCTTGGATTTAGTTTGCTTTCACTTGGGGTGATATCAGTGGGCAGCTGGTCACCTTCCCAAAAATCTCAGGCTGCCAATCTGAAATCCAACGACTACTATGAAGTCCTGGGTGTGGCTCGTGATGCCAGTGAGTCGGAGATCACGAAGGTGCCGCGATGCCCCCATTTCTATGTTCAGTGGCAACACGGTTTTACTTGTGTATTTTCATTTATTTTTTCATGTATTTTCACACTTAAAGCCTGCAGAAATAGTTCATGTCTCAAGCTTCTCAAGCTTCTCAAGCGTCACACGACGGTGCAGGCCTACAGGAAGCTGGCTCAGAAGCACCACCCTGACAAGAACATTAACAGGACGGTAAGCGGTTGAAAGCTGTTGATCTTGTTCTTAGCTTGTTGCTTTCCCCCCTGCCCCTGACGGAACGATCCACATCCTTTGAAGATGCCATCCTCCTTTGGTTGATATCAATTTCCAAGCCACCTGGAAGCTTCAATGGTGTTGGGTTCCATGTCTTTTGAATTATTTGGGTCCTTTCGAAGGAAGCAGCAGGCGGAGGAAGAGTTCAAATGTATCGCGGAAGCGTACGAAGTCCTGACTGACCCCGAGAAGAGGAAGAACTATGACCAGTTCGGTAAGGACCTAATACGGGCTGAGAGGAATCGAAATCTTGGTTCATGAAAGTCGGTTACAGGATGAGCAACTGAGAAGTTGGTGTCTCTGTGTCTCTACAATTTGTGTTTTTCTTTTTCAAGCAATGCTCCATTCCGTAGGAAGGCTTGCAAGGCGGCGGCAATCCCGGGGCCGCCAACATGTCTCCAGATCAGGCTGGGAGAGATTCATTTCTGGGGAAACGCATCACAATCATAGTACTAACATGTACTAACCAGCTAACATTTTTGAAGGGTATCTAAGATTGGCCATGATTTCGAATTTTCTATGGTTAGTTGGTGAGCGCTGAGGGTCAATCAACTAACTCTGGGAGATTCGGCAACAAATTTTGGGCTCGAATCATTAAAGCGAATTTGAGATCAACCATGAATGGTGCCTTTCTGTCTCTCGGGGCCGTGAACATGTCCATAATTCTCAGATTAATTATATAAGGCCTAAAGGAGTTCTCATTGTCTTTCCAAGGATTTGTGTCTTTGCTCACTACTCGTTGTTGTTTGATAGATCGCGCCTATTGTTCGTTTCTGCTGTTGATGTCTTTGGTCGACAACATTCCACCCAGATAAGGCCACAAAATGCGATCCACTCTTTCTAGAACCCACAAAATGCTGACAAACAATTGGGGTCACTGTCATGGGATCAAGTGTTCAAACTGGCTGTTGGCTTAAAGTTTAAAACATGTTTCATTTTCCATCCCATGTTGATGATCGCCAGTTCGAACGGGCGGCCCCTGCAGGCTGAGATGTTTTTCAAGATGTTTGGTGGTCAACCAGGAGGGGGCACCACCCGCGTGGTTTTTAGTGGCGGACCTGGTGAAGGCTGCTTGGTTGCACAGGAAGAATGGACTTGTGGTAAATGAATATATATTATATGAGCTACAGCCAAAATTTACGGCAATGGAAAGTAGTATTCGAGGCGTCTCTATTTTTTGGAAACTGAGCTGAGGCTTGGAAAACGATAATACACTCTTCAAAAACGATAACGTGTGCTTATGTTGATCTTGGTCATCAGTCATCCTGTGTCTTACGGCGCAAGTTATTCAATGTATTTCGTATGAGAGAAGCAAACGGCAAAACCTTTTTTTTATCAATAGATGTGTGGAGAGGTTGCGGGGAAAAAACAAACACGTGTCAGTTCCTGGGTTTTTTGCTGCTGTTTGCACCGCGTGCTGAATAAGCTTGAAGCACTGTGCAGCCACATGTCCGTGCATTTCGTTTTCCACGGCAGCATCAAGCTTTCCTCAAGACAACACTACGACTTTCCAAACAAAAGGGTTTCCCATAGATTTCTCCAGAATCATTGCTTTATTTGTGTATTTTTTTCTGGATCCAACCAGGTGTTCCAAACGATAACCCAAACGATAACGAAACGATAACAAAAAATCACAAAACCCCTATCGGCCAGACACTGGCCCATTTGCTCGCTGAAAGCCTGTTTTTCTTGGCGCGTGTTGCTCATCAAAGATGAGCAAGCAAGCACAAGACATGGCAGGACTCAGATGTTTCCTCAATGAGTTATTGCAACATGAGGGTGCGCATTTTTCTTTCATTGAAATATATAGATTATATAATCGAAGGAAGTTAAGAAGTCAAACTCCCGACAAAATGGACAGATAAAAAAGTAGTCAGAAGGGAGAAGAGTCAGAAGAGATAAGATCAGAAGAAAGAAGATGCAGGTGCGCGAAAAGGTAGGAAAGTAGTGCTTGTTCGATGTTTTCTAGATCCGGAGGGTCCAAAACTGAAAAAAAAAAGTTGCGCTCCACGTGAAAGTGGGCGGAAGTATTTGATTCGTTGCTTTTCACCATCAGAATACCATGGAATATGCAAGGAATACGAACATTCTGGCCCAAAACCTGAAAAACGATAATACACTCTTCAAAAATTGATGACATTCAGCTAGATAATAAATATTGACCGTGGCCCATATGATATTATATATATATACTATATATATACTATATAATGTGTTATTGTAATAAGTTATGATTATATATAGCGTGTATACTCATGTATTATACTATTATACACTAGTTCATGAAGGTCATGCATTTTGTGTGACGTACGCTCCCAGGTATGGATGTGGATGGCATTGACCTCTCTGAGATTTTCATGTCCATGGGCCTTGGGGGCTGTGGGGGCATGCGTGGCATGGGCGGCATGGGCGGCATGGGTAGCAACATGGGCGGCATGGGCAACGGCTTTGGCTTCGGCGGCATGCCCGGGATGAATGGCATGAATGGCATGGGAGGCATGGGAGGCATGGGAGGCATGGGCACCTCCCACAGTTCTCGCCGAAGTCAGGGCCGTGGGATCATCAAAGCAGGTGAGATGGTGATCGTTCACAGCTTAAACAAGGCCAAGGACGGACATGCAGGTGGTGGCTGGTGGTATTTTGCGCAAGAAAGATGTTAAAAATGATAACGTCATAAATTGATATTACATTATCATTGTCATAGCATTTTGATGCTGCATGACCTCGCCCCTTGGATGACCCTTCGGGCGCTCCAGGAGCACAACGGCAAGCGAGGTCATGTCAGTGGCTTTGATGCCCAACGTAGCCGCTACGAAGTCCGCCTTGAGGACGAGCCTCAAGTGATCCATGTGCGTCCAGAAAATTTGACCCAACAGTGCAGCGTGAAGGCGTCGCCGCTAAGTGGATCCATGTGGATCCAGTGGGGAACACCCCAAATGTTTCAAGATGGTTGATTCATGTTTATTTCATGTCTCATGTTTCTGGAACGATATGAATGACTCATTTAAGTCCTTGCATCATCTTGCATCCCTATTGTTGGACACCCATTTTGAACCAGGCGTGGTTTTCTTAATTTTTCTTCCGTTGATCTTCGGCTCGCCCTTTTAGCTTTGATCCAGGTGCATGGTTTGACCAGCAGGCCGGAGTTGAATGGCAAGACTGGACAAATTGTGACTCGCTGATCATTTCACATACGTTTTTTGTGTCTCCCATAGTTTGATGCTTACACCGCCTTAACTAATGGTTTTTTCTAAAGGTGCCTTTGTCGGATGATGATCCCATGTGAATCCGCAAGACTTAGGTTTTTAATGTTTTTTTTTCATGATTCAATGATGGACATATGGAAACCAGGTGGGCTTTGATGCACAGAAAGGCCGCTACTCCGTGCTGGTTCAGGGAGGACATGGTCTTGGAAGTGCCCCAACCTCAGTTTTGGAGGTGAGCTTGCAGGGAAGAAACTGCATCCTGAAGACTGGGAATCTCGGCTGCGCTGGTTTGAAAACGGAATCCTGAAATTTTCCACAAATGGGTGAAATATGGGTGAAATATGGTGAACTTATTGTCAAGTTTGCTTCTGGTATAAGCAGTTCTTGTGCACGGGGACAATTTTGAAGAGACAGACCCAAACAGTAAGGCTTGATTTCCAATTGTTCTTGGCAGAGTTTGCCCAATGTTTGTGCGCTGACGCTACTTTACGCTGGATTTTGACAACTCAGAAAGAATGAGGTCAAATTGCTTGAGATGAATAGCTTACTAAGATTGGTCCATGTACCACTGTACCTCTCTTGGAGTAGATGGGATAAAACTCCCATTGTTTTTGGGGGAAATCTGCAGGAACCACCTATCTTTGGGCTGAAAAAACTCAAAACCACTCCATTGGAACCTCAGTGTGGTTGGTTTCCTTATTCATATCCATATAATTCCCATATATATATATATATCCATGATATAATCCCATTACAACCCATGTTTTCAGCAAAGCGCAATCTATGGACCATAATGTTTCTTGCTTACTAAGTATCTTGATAGTTATATGTCACCATGTTTGACTCCCCGCTATCATCTTATATCATCACTATATATCCCCAATATCAGCCGATTATATTCCCAATTCTGATGATCAAAATTACCATTTTAATTTTACATCGTATCCTCATTCCAGATCATTAAAAGACCATATTTAGATATATTTAGATCATATTATCCCCATGTTTTCCCCATGTTTTCCCCAAAAAGCAGCGATCTGTAGCACCTTGAGGACCTGTGTCCGGCTGTCTGGCCTCAACAAGGCCGAGCTCAATGGCTCTAGGGCCGAGGTCATGGAGGTAGATGTGCCAGCTGGGCGGTACCTGGTGCACCTTCAGAATGGCAAGCAGATCAAGGCAGGAACTCAATGGGAGGTGCACCTCCAGAATGGTTGCTGGTTTTTGGATGTTTTTTGGGGGGATCTTGGAAAGATATAGCAAAAAATATGCAAAAGATGGGAGATGATGATTTTTTTTTAACAAAATCAGGAGAAGAGATGGGTGGGAAAGAAGGGGACATGAATGACTATCATTATGGATTGGTTTATGATTTAGAAAAGACTGGGTCTGTGTTTTTTCTATCTCCCCAGGCTGTTCAGCAGCACCCCTGTGGGAGTAATTATTTGGTGTACCCAAATTGATTTTCCGTTGTGATAGGGCGTACCTAATGAAACATGATATATTGTCACATTGTGTATCAGGAGGGAATGCATCAAAATAGTATTTCAGAGATGGGCCTAGAAAATCTGATAATGTGGCAAGCCCGATATGTAGTAGACCATGCCCGATACGTATCCGTTTGGGGGTAAGGATTTAGAGACAGATTCACCAAAGAGTTCTCGTTGGATTTGCCGCATTACCATGTTGCTCTTGGAAAATTAGAAGCGCTGGGGGAAAAACATCTACAATAGTGGATTTTTTCAGTGCCAGATTTGATGCCTACAAACTATACCTTATAAGATCTTATAAGCATCGCAGCAATTTTTATCCAGCCACAGGTGAAATTTGAGAATGTGCTCTTCTGAGATCTGAGCATTATGCCACAGTCTCCGATTTTGACTCGCTCCACGCAGCAAATCTCTTAAGGAGATGAGAATCATTCTGAATCTATGTTTCTGAACAGTTTGGAGCAGCATTTTCCGGAATTTGCTGTTCCGGCTGTTCGTTTTGTGACACCCAAAGTTCTGGGTACTCATTCCGTAGTGGCCATGGAATTCGCTCGACCCGAAGGGGTCGTGCCACATCCTTGTACAGTTGGCGGCTCGAATGAGCAGAGACTTTAGTAGGAGCGCCTAGCGCACAGTTTTCGCAGGAAAATCCAGTGCAGGGATTACTTGTTGCTGTTTTGAAACAGAATCCGCATCTTCACTCGGATTGAAACCAGCAACCAGACTTCGACTAAGGATCGTGCTACACAGTTAGGATTGCAACCCTTGTATTTCTATGTGTTTCTTTTGGATGCGATGAATCTAGTAAAGGACTACTCGTATGGTTATCCGAGCAGCACAACTTCTATGAATCAAGAGTTTGCACGGGCGAGACTTCAGCAAAGAACTGTTTGTGTGAGACTTCGCTGTGGAGATGGACATTTGGCTAGATGATGCTATATGATGCATTTATGATGCTATATGTATGACACATCTTGACTCCAAGAACAGCATCTTCTTATACCAAAACTGACACATACTTGGATTGGGACTCCATTCCCACCGAGGCCAATTTTTATGCCCCCCTTGGCTGCGCTCACGGGATCGTGGGGCTCTTGGCAGAACGTGGGAGACCAGGAAAGCACCAGGGTCCACGTTCTTTTTGGCAACGATGATGTTGGTCCCCCATGATTTACCTTGCTAAGATCGCAAAATCATCAGACTGGTGGATTTTTTGGGTGGCCATTTTTGCAGATACCAAGATACCAACATACCAACATACCAAGATACCAAGATACAGGATACCAAGATACCCGTTTAGCACGGTGGGTTGCCGCTTGTGGTATGTCCCAGTGGACTCGCAGGTCATCATCTCAGCCGTTGGAGTCTCAGTATTCACAGGGGTTGACCATTCGCAAAAGATATGTTGATGTTCACTATAGTAACTATTAGTACTCGTAATTACTGGATTTTGATAGCCAAATGTCAAAGAAAATCACCATTCTTGGTGTTGGAGCACGAGATGTGATTTTGCAATCCTTGATTGATCAGCTGTCATTGTGGTGTTTTTCATGTTTTTGTTGCAAACCTGAGGACCCCCAAAGCAAGCATCGGCACAGAGATAAGCAGGTTCATTTGAGACGTCACTCCCGACCCTCCCTGGAGGTCGATAATTGCTGGTGATATCCTGATGTGCATTATTGATGTGTTAAGGTTTTGGTTATATAATATTATATATTATATATATATGTATGTGTATATATATATATATGTTGTCGTTGTTGTTGTTAAATATGTTGTTTATTGTGTTTTCTTTTTTTCAATGATGATCCCAATGATGAAGATTTTTGAGGGGTTGAAACCACCAACTAGCACTGTTCTTGTCGACTGTCCCCTCATTGAGCTTAGGTCCACTACGCCGGCTGTCTTGGCTCCTTTGCGTAGAGTACGACGAGCCACAAATTGGCGTCCACATCTGAGTGACTTCATGCTGACTCATGCAGAGAATGTTTGGCAAAGTATCATTTGAATAAATTGTGCTATCATGTGCTATCTATTTTCGATGAAGAGTTGGGGAATTTGCGGGATCAGTTCTTTGGGTCTCAAAACATTCAAGCACTGTGCGTGTGTGAATGATTTTGATGTGTTTAGACTGTACTGGAGCCTGATCTCGCAGTGATTGCTTTGGTTTGAAGCCGGAGGGACCATGACTTTCTGTCGCTGGACAGACTTGTGACCTAGCAAGGTTGGAGAAGTCCAAGGTGTGAGCAACATCTGACAACTTCATTCGATTTTTAGCTTTAGAAGTTAAGATTTGCATCCACTGATTCTGAGTGTGTGGAGTAAGAAATCAACTTCTGTGTTCGGCTTTTCAACAAAGCATGGTCAAGTGTGAAATACACAATCAACTCCTTTTCTCTCCTCCCTTTAAACAACACATAATAATAATAATCAATAATAGATAATAGATATATATATATATATAATACATATATATATATATATATGAGCAACAGTAAAAACCCCGACAATACTAAATATGTATTCGACGGACATTGGCTTATGGAAATTGATGGAAATTGTTAAAAACACGAGGTAAGCGATGGGACCTTCCCAAATTAGCGATACCCCTTTTCAAGGTTATGTCATCATATTTCTCTAATATCCACATTAGCGATACCCAAATATCACATATTATTCATAGTTCATCATATATAAATACAGCAGTTTCCTGCAAGCGATACCCCCCAAGTTTACCATATATCATTATTGTACAAACGTGTGGTAAGCGATGGGACCTTCCCAAATTTGTGAATGTCCTTTCCGTGAACCTAGGGTTTTCACAATCGCTCATATATATATATATATACATACATACATATAAGATTTCAAGCATATCCAGTGCGGGTAGTTAACCCAACCTCTGACACCCTTGAACCCCAAGGTTCAAGCTGGCACTGAGCTCATGGCAGAGCTTGATTAGTCCTCGCGAGTCGGACTGGAAAATGGATGATTACCCCTCCGAAATGTATCAATTTTCCATTTATCTGGTTGGTGGTTTGATGGTTTGGAACATTTTTTTTTCCATAATATATGGGATAGTCCTTCCCATTGACTAATATTGTTCAAGATGGTTAAAACCACCAACCAGTTCCATTTATCCTTGGATTCCCAAAAAGGGGGTTTGGAAGAGGGACTTGTTGGCAGAAATTTAAACAATATATCAGACTTCACGGGCGTAGTTCAGAATCCGGGACTTATGAATCCAGACGCTGTGGCAACATCCTTTGGCAATAGCAAGGATCCGCCCAAACAACGCGCATTACTGGTGCACTCCGATTCGCAAGGGACAGCTTCCAAAGCAAATAAAGTGTTTTAAGCAATGCCCTACCAGGGCTGTCTCACAGTTGTGCATAGGACATGGGGCAAGCTACACCACCAGGTTTCAAAACTGAAATGCTGGGCGGTGTGTGTATTGCTTTTCCATCATTGATCAGAGGGTCGATGACAAAATGCAGCAAGACCTGCCAGCGTTTTCTCTGAAGCTCCTTCTGGTCAGGGCAGCATGGCAACGACCATCCCCATGACACTTGAGATTCAGGCCACTAATAGGCTAGATGTCCCTTCATATCCTAGGCTTTCTAACATCCGTGCCCCAGTTTGTGCAGCAGACACACTGCGCAGCCATTTTGGGGCTCCTTTCAGGCGGCTTTTTTTCATCGGCAGAATCCAGGGTGCAAATCAAAGGCTCAACTCGCCATGGAGGAAAGTAGGTGGACCTTGTCTTCCATGCTGAGCTGGATTGCACTGAGCTCTTGTTCATGTGACTTGGAGTCCTTTCAGATGGAGATAGTATGAGAATGTATGAGTGAAAGAGGACTCGATTGTATTTTGATTTTGTAGAAATGACCCTGAAACAACAAACATGAGTGGTCTTGTGTGATGTCACAACATTCTCCTGACGAAATGAAAGAGATGGAATCAGTATTCAGCAAAGCTGCCTTTTAGCATGTGAGTTCACAGCGGACAGCAGACACACAGTGATTTAACGCTGAAGACGTGTTTTCCCTACGGGAGATTGTGCCACTAGTCTTCCTTGGTTGCCAAAAAACATTCTACCACACCTGGTACTCAAGTCATGTTCTTTCCTCGTACGTACATATTTGATCTAGGCACATGATGGCACATTTACATGCATGGACAGGACATGCTTGCTTTCCAAGGTGATACCACCACTGTAGGCGGGGCGAGATTTCCGAAAGTTTCTGGCAAGAAACGACAGAATGTGAAAACCGTGCAAAACCCAGTACCGAAGCGTGCCGACGGCAATAAAGTAAACTACAGCGAATTCGGGATGATTGCACCAAGTTGTAAAATATTTAAAATTATGATGTTTGCATATTTTTGCAATGTGTTTCCCAAGTTTACTCAGCCTTTCAGCCATTTTTGAACCATGCGGTGTGTGCTATCACCCCTGTATAGTTGGGACCACATGGCAGGTACAACCAATGATGCGGAACTTCGAACCACGACCACACCGATGCCCGAGGCCGGCTGGGGATATTTCACCAGGATTTAGATATTTAGCTTGTTTGTTTGTATTTGTTTGTTTTCAGAATAGTTCAGAATCAAAAACTCATCAAATATGTGAGGATATAGTCTATTGTAGTCTATGAGTCTATCATTATATCTATAGTTGAGAAATGATGG